AAAAAAAAAAAAAAAAGCTCTACTCATTGAAAGTAACTACCCTGCCGGGTTCAGGCGACTCTCAGCCTGTGCCCTTGTAATGTGGCACCCTGGCACCAGCCCCCCGGGTCCCGGTGGTAACTCACCTTCTGGCACAAACATGTTGGAGATCACCATGAGCCCGGCCAGGATGAGGAAGGACGCCACCGTGGCCCGGCGGCCCACGTAAATCATGGTGGTGGTGGCCACCAGCATGGCCGGGATGTCTATGACCCCGAACAGGACCTGCACCAGGTAGACGCTGAGCCCGAACTTCTGCAGGTCCATGGCCAGGCCGTAGTAAGCCATGGAGTTGGAGAACCTGGGGGAGGCAGCAGAGGGCTCCGTTTCACTCAGGGTCACTGTGCTGGACAGAGGTGATGGTGCGGAGGACACGCAGGAGAACAAAGCGCTTCTTCTCCTTGGGGCGCTAAAGCCCCAACTTGCACACGCCCTCCCGGGCTCTTAACGCTCCAACACTGGCATGGAGCTGGGTCTCTACTGCCCTGTCCCTCTCCGGGTCACTCTCTGGACACCAGCAGGCGAGTGATTTTTCCTCTTAGCACCAGGCCAGCCCCTCCTGCCAGCCTCCAGCGCCTGACCTGAGCACCACGCCTGAGAGCGAGAGGGAAGAACGAGAGACTTGGCGAAACCACACCGCAGCGCGTCTCCCAGGGCCTCCCAGGTCTGCTGGGAAAGCTGCCCCCCAATGGCTACATCTGCCGGCGGTGGGTGGGCTCGTCAAGCTGCCCTCAGAGGCCTGGGATTCGTCCTCGCATCCGGGGTCTCCCTGGAAATGCAAAGCTCGCGTGGCAGCAGGCGTCCCAAAGACCTGGTCATACATCACGCACAGGGTGTTATTCACAGCAGCCAGAATGTGGGCCCTGCACAAGCAGGTTTGAGGGATGAACAAACAAAATACAGTGTTTATCTAGGGACACGCTTCAGCCTCAAAAGGAAGGCCGTCTGCAGAGCGGCTCTGCGCGCCTGGCTCGGAGGTGTCACGCCCAGTGAAGCGAGCTCAACACTGTGAACCTCGCTCACTGATGTGGGTGCCGCTGCTTCTGGGGTCTCTGCAGGAGTCTCTGCAGAGAGGACACATCTTCATACTTCCCTGTGTCCCCTCCTGGCCCCACAGGTGTTTGTCCAGGAAGGGACTCTTCCCAGGACCCCCTGGGGTTCTGGGCATCTCAGAAGCCGACAGGTGCATTTGGAAAAGATCCCAATAGCGGCCCCCAACCCGTTGAGATCCCCTGGAGAGAAGGGGCCCCCGCATCCGCCTGGAAGTCTCGTCCAAGGCTGCACCTCAGCACCAAGCAGAGCGGGCACTGCAGAAGGTACACAGACCGGGCTGCATTTACAAGGCTTCTCTGCTCAGTGCGTGCAGAAAGAATGGAGCTTGTTGGTGGGGGGTGAAGGACGTGTCCCCCGCCTCAGCTCAGAGATGTGGGCCCATCACCTACCAGACCAGCATCAAGCAGCAGGAGACCTTGCGGATGGCTGGGGTTCGAAAGAGGTCCAAGATGGAGTTGGAGGTGCGGACGCTTGCAAATTCGCTCTGGATGAAGGAGCTCACCACCTGGACCAGGAGCGTGTGACCAAGGGAGGGCGGGGACTGGGGCACTGGCTCTCTGCTAGGATTCCTCCCCCCTTGGGGGAGCCAAGGTCAGGGTCCCGAGGATGGCCGCCCCGTGCCCTCGCCATCCCGGGACTGGCCGGATGTCAGGTGAGCCCAGGACCCTGCGCTGCCGCTGCTTAGACGGAACCAGCCACCTGTGCCCGCGCGGGCACACGCCTGTCCTGGTCCCGGGACTCTGCATGGCCTCGGCAGAGAGCTCCTAAGCAGGTTATGTGACGCATCCAAACGTCAATTTCCCCATTGACAAAAGTGAGGCACTAAATGCCATCATGTACATAAACCCCGGGCTCGTGCCTAGCATGGGGCTCAGTCAATGGCACCAATTGCTAATCAGTGATAAGTGATTAGCAATAAAGGACAAATAGCCTACAAATGTGACAAGTGGCCTATAAGTGGGAGTCATAACAGATAGTGATGGGAGGTACAATAAATGGTGTGTTTGTTACCACGGATTCCCTGGTCATTTCATGTCATGATTTCTGCTTTGACACGTGTGTTGTGTGCCTTATTTCAAGTTCGGCTCCATGCCAGCGTGAGCAGACAGGTCGCCGGTGAACAGGTTGACGAACAAAGCAGTGGAAGGTGTGTCCTGATCACATGTGTCCTGATCACACGGTCATTGGGGGGCTGACCCTCCCCACATCTGTTCATTCCCGGTGTCTTCCGCTGGAGGGTGGGTGAGGGCTGGAAGCAACTGAATCCGAGCTCGGCTCGGCTCGAGGCTGACAAAAAGACCCACGACCCTTCACCTCCCCCACCCCCGCCTACCTCCCTGGTCAGCCGCTCCCCTTCCTCCTTCCGCCCGTTCATGGCCGCCACCTTCCGCAGGTTCTGCACCGCCAGCTGGCACTTGCCCTGCAGGAGGAGCCACCGGGAGGACTCTGGAAGCCACCTGGAGCCCAGAGGTGACGTGTGACCTGGAGCTGAGCGCAGCCATGACATCTCCCCAGCCAAGTCTACCTTCCTTCACTTTCCGGACCCTAAAACCAGCAGAGCGGCCCGCTGGCTGCAGACATGGGGTGACAGGGGCCTGCTTACGGTCCTCCCAGGAATCCTGGTGGGTGATCAGAGGCTACGAGGCACCTGGCTTCCACAGGTCCGGTTCTGACCTGGTTCTGACCTTAGCAGGTGGCCGTGCACATGGACCACTCCCTGGGCTGGGTCCGTACCCCCCGAAAATGCCCTGGGGCTGAGGTGAGGTGCGCCGACCGAGGGAAAGCCCTCGGTCTGCTCCGGACCGGCACCCTAATGGAGTCTACCAGTGTCCCGATAGCCAGGAAGGACACCTGGGCCCGGCGCCCCTGGACCACCTGCCCGCCTCGCGTCCCCCCATGCCCAGCGGGCCCAGGCCACTGTGCATCTCAAGCAGGTAAGGGAGAGGGGAGGGCTTGGCTCACAGGACACCCCCCACACCCCCACTTCATCGGGACATACCAAGAATACAGGAAAAAGACGAGGAACGGGACAGAGACGGCAAACTGCAGCCACCGCCAGGGGCGGATCAGGTAGGCCGTGCCGGCCAGGATGAGCTGGCCCAGCGTGAAGGAGAAGCCCAGCAGGACCCCCGCCACGGTGCGGCCCCGGGTGGGCATCCACTCCACAACTGCGGAGAGACGCAGCCGCTGTGGGACGCGGCGCCCCGCCTCTGCCCACCGGCCCCTTGGTGACGGTGCCGCCCCCAAAGCCCCCAACCCGCCAAGGCGTCCCCGACCTCCTCCCCAGGCCCAGGCTGCGGGTGGGCCAGAGAGCCAGTACCCGACTAAACCCTAACGCGTCCCAGGAAACCTTGATTGAATTGGGAAGGTTTTTCCCAGAAAGTTATAAAACACACAGGTAACTAACGTTAACAAACTTGACTTTCTAGAAATATGTATCTGGGAAATCAAAACCAGCCCAAACCAGCCCACTGTGGACAAAGTGAAGTCATCAGAAGGAAAGCCCAACAGGAGGGGCCGGCACGCCTGGCCCTGGGCGTTTCCTCGGAAGTCCAGGGGAAGAGCAGCGGGAGGTGAGGCGGCTGGCAGAGAGGAGCTACACGGCTTAGTTACAGGACTGTCCTGCAAATGGCAGCCGACCCCCCGGTTTCGCAGCAAAACCCCCCGGACTACGCGTGAGGAAGCAGAGGGCTTAAACCAAGCACTTTGCTCTCTGCTGCCCGGCCCTCCTCAGCGGCTCCACCCTCCAGCCTCCTCTCTGGCCTTCGTGGCCTGGGGGGCGCCTGTCACTGCCCACCCCAGGGGCGAGCTCATTAGTGCGGTTACCGCGGCCAGCCCTGAGAACCCTTGGCGCTGGGATGTGCGTGTCTGCGCCGCAGAGGCGGCAGGGTGGGGCCAGGCCCTTCTCTGGCACCTGTTTTGGAACCTCTGGCCTGGGTTCCAAAGGCTCCCCCCCGCCCCCCGTGAATATATTTTCCCAGCAGCTAAACAAGGGCCTGTGTGGGAGAAGGCAGGACCCTCGGAAAGCAGCCAGGGCGCTGGGCCCGTGCCCAACACGTGGTTGAGCGGAGACCAGGAGGCTCGCTGACTGCCAGCGCTGTGGGGGAGGTCACCCCCTGCGATTGTCCCCAGAGACCTCCTTAAAGCCACACTGCTCTGGGAAGTCTCTGGTGTGTTTGTGTGCAGGCATGTAGGGGTGTCTCAGTGTGGGTGTGGCAGGTGTCTGCGTGGCTCTGATGTCCTGTGCAGGGCCCAGAGGGAGGGCGGGGCGCCGCCCCCCGAGGCTGCCTCCACCCCAGGCTGCCCCCACCCCAGGCTGCCCCCACCCTGTTCCTCGGCAGTTTCCCAGCCCTTCACGTGGCCCTGACAGCAGGATTGTCCCTGGGGTACTAAGCCGCTGAAGTGGGCGCCTGCAGCTGGCGGCCCGTGTCCAGGGGGTCCTACCAGCTGGTGGGCCGTGTCCAGGGGGTCCTACCAGCTGGTGGGCCGTGTCCAGGGGGTCCTACCAGCTGGTGGCCTGAGTCCAGGGGTCCTCAGCTCTGCCTGGAACAGCCTGGAATGAGGCCTGACCTGTCCCCTTGGGTGGGTGGGACATCCCACCTGGCTCCCAGGAGCTGGGTGTCCACTCTGGTGCTAAGGACCACCTTTACCACCTGGTGAACCCCATCTTTCCTGAAGGCCACATCACTCAGGGCCAGCAGAAGCCCCAGGCACCACTGAGTCGTGTGTCCCTACGGGGATCCCACACAGAGCCTGGCACGAGTCGGGGCTAGGTGAGGGATCATGGCTGGTTAATTTGTGCAGGTACTGAGACTCAGCTTACAGGTGGACAAATCCCAAGCCGGGGCTGTGGCCCACTGCCCACCTGGCCGCCGCCTGAGAGCCGGGAATCCAGGACCCTGGTAGGAGGTTCCAGCTGAGGCCACTCCGTGAGAATCCCAAACCAGAGCGGCCGCTTCCTTGCCCAGGCCCCCCAGATGGACTCACCCAGAGAGAGGGAGTTGAGGATGATGCCGGAGAAGGTCATGCCCATCAGGAACCGGAAGGCACAGTAGGCCCCGAAGGAGCTGAAGTAGGCCGTGGCGGCCCCAGACACCGCCAGCTGCAAATACGACCAGACCAGCGGGGCCTTGCGGCCCAGCCTGAGCCGTGGACGCAGGGTCAGGGCCTGGGGCGGCAGCAGCTTCCCCGCGGGAGGGAAGCGGCCGAACGCAGCCCGAGAGGCCCAGGAGGGGCCTCGTTCCAAGACACTCGGACGCATTTACACACGCGCCCTTCTCTCACAGTCACACACCGACAGCCCGGCGGGGCCTGGGGCCCGCGGCCGTCCAGAGAGGGACCTCGTGGTGCCCTGGGTTGTGGCACGGCCACCCACGGCGCCTGAGCTGGGCCCACGGGGGGCAGTCTGGGGCTTGGGGCTGGAGCTGGAGAGGGCCCCCCAGAACCTGAACGGCAACAGTGAGAGTGGAGGTAGGAGGGGGGGTGGGGGGTCATCAGGCGCGGGTGGGGCCCCGGCCAAGCCAGCACCCGAGTTTCCTGCGCCTGTGCCGAAGGACCACTGCCCAGCCTGCAGGTGCTTCTGGTCAGTCCTGGCCCGTCCCCACAGCATGCACCATGGACACTAAGGAGGATGAGGAAGTCCCTGCCAGAGGGACACACGGAGGTCTCAAAGTGCAGGAAAAACAGGTGGAGAACAGTGAATTTGGGGTGCAGTGTTTCCACAGAAAGGGGTTGGGAGCTGTGCACACAGCTCAAATCATAAATGTCTGGAGAGACAGACACCAGGCAGCCCCTAGAAGTTACTGGGGTGTGGTGGTGGGGTACGATGCGAGAGGGACCCTTCTCTCGTGCTTCCTGAAATTTTTGAAACGGGTAAGAGTATGTTTTATCTGTTTAAAAACACATGTAGGGCCCCCTGGAGGTGCAGGGGTTAAAGACACAGCGCTGTCACGCTGTCATCAGCCACTAACGCAAGTTCGATCCCGGCCAGGGAGGGACCCACAGGGCGCAGCAGACCCCTCCTGTCTCCCCGCTGCTCCCCTCAGCAGTGTGTCTCAGTGGCTCCACCTATTCTGCTCCCAACTGTCTCTGGTGAATCCTCTCACCCCTACCCTGCACCTCTGGCCTGTACCCCAGTTGTGTGTGCATAAATAAATCTTTTTTAAAAAATAAAAAACACACGCATACAACTTTGTAAAGAAAATCAAGACTTCCCCCAAGACTTTCCCACCAGCCCTGGGGGGCTGGGGCCCGCAGGCTCACCTGTCTGCAAGGCTGCCAAACACAGCCGCACCCACCAGGACCCCGGCCATGTAGATGGACTGAGCCAGGTCTCGGAGGGTTCGGGCCTCACACACCAGATCCCACTGCAGGGGAGACAGGGCTGTCCAGTCTCGGCCTCTGGCCGCAGCCCCCCGTGCCGCCTGGGCCCACTGACCTCCATCACGATGGTGGACGGGAAAACACTGCGGTCGTAGGCCCAGCCGTCCTTGCAGCCCTCCGTGGCTGCCCCAGGGACGGAGGTGTTGGGGTGCAGGAGGGCCCACTGAGGTTCGGTGAAGCGCTGGCATGGCTCAGGGACCCCAAATCGGTCCAGGGGTATGGTGGCCCTCAACCAGGCCCCCGAGTCATTGGCGGTGGCCGCGGTGTGATTGGGGGGGCTCTGGCAGTGGTGGGGGGGCACGGCAGCCGTGAAGTTCTGCAGGAAGTTGTGGCAGGCCAGCAGGCTGCAGGGCAGCAGCAGCAGCGCCGTGTGGATGAGCTGGAAGCGGCCCACGCCACCCAGGGTGTCCAGCAGGTCTGTGAAGGCCATGGCCACGGCTGGACCGGGCAGCCTGCCTGCTTATGTAAAGGGGGGGCGGGCCGGGAGGTGGAGGATCAGGGCGGTAGGGGCTGCAGATGAACCGCTGCAGCTCAGAGGGGTCCGGTTACACCTCACAGGAGGCCTCGGGTGTCCCCACATCGGCTGGACTCCCGCCTTCCGAGCCCTTTCTGTTCGTGGCACTCAGTCTCAAGTCAGAAAGGTGAGGGGCCCCGGAGCCCCTCCAGCCTGCGACTGGCTCCCCTGCCCGCTGGCTCGCACGGGACCGCGCCGAGGGCACCTCGCACCCGCCCCCTTCCCAGGCTGGACCGGGAGAGGCAGCCCAGCCCCGTCGCCAGGGCCTAAATCCAGCCTGGAGCCTGAAATGCCACGAGGTAGATAAGGGGGTGCTGGTGATGCTGGCTGCTTGGCCCTACTCCTCCCCCAAATAAGGGACTTCACAGGAGACTCGGAAAAAGTCCTTAAAAATGCCCAGCTAGGAGGAAGGGTCTGCCCAGCACTCGGGCGCGGGTGGGGGCAGCCAGGCCAGTCAGAAGCACGGAATATGCCGACCCTCTTGTCCAACAGAACCATCGCGAAGAAGGCTCGAGTCCCCACACCCGTCCTCCTGCGGCCCCAACGGGCCCAGCTCCCTGGACGTGAGGT